TGTGGGAGCCTGCTGGGCTTCCCCTGGGTCCTACTGCCCTTGGGTCTTGTCAAAAATCACAGGAACCAAGGGCAGATAAATATAAATTTTCCAAAATTTTTAGGGGCCCCACGGGCTGGACAGAATGGCCTTGTGGGCCAGATCTGGCCCGCAGGCTGTATTTTGCCCACCCCTGGTTTAACTGATGGCTGGGGGTGGTCACACCACAGCTTGCCAGTCACAAAAGGCTCCCAGGCAGTTTGAATGAGAGTTGTGAGCCATGTCCATCTACCCCAACAACAGCAATTGCCAAACTTGCATCCTGTCCTCCCATGGTAGCAACTTGTCTTGCATGCACTGTCCTCACCCAGATCTATCATATGTGTGGCTCTCAGGTGTGTGACAGTTATAGCATATGGCTCAAAGGATTAGGACATCTGGCCAATCCAGATTCAGGTCTTACAATAATTAAGATTTCTGCACTTTGCACCCACAGGTCTCAAAGCAGTTTATTTGGGAAAAACCATTATCCCCATGTTTTACAAACAGGGAAACCAAGGTATGGAGAGGTCAGATGCTTAGTTTTAGGTTACACTAATTCAGTAGCACAACTGGGGACAAACCAGCAATCACTTGCCTCTCTCCTATACCCTGACTGCTAGACCACAGCCAGCTCAGGGAGAACCTGCTGAAGCTGGGCTGTAAGCAGCTTGAGTGGTTTGTTCAGTTTGACCACAGCCCCTAAAACACTCATGGCTGGGCTATCGCTGAATAAGCCACCTTCAGACTGGTTAGAGCAGTAGTTTTCCCTGAGCTTCTCCTTGGTGGTACTGACAGTGTGATCTTTCTTTTATCAATTGAAAGTTAAGTTTGTAAGTTAAAAGGTTTTATTGACTGCAAATTTCAGGGCCTCTTTGCAAACAGGCTGGTATCAGCCAGATTGAGGCACCAGGCCCTCAGTGCCTGTACAGGGTCTGCGAAACGCTAGGCTTATGACTAGCCTCTCCTGTCACGCCCAGCATTTTCTGTCAGGAAGTCATGGATGGCAGTGGTGATGCCCCATGTTGGACATGCCCGCAGGACAAGCAGGGACCCACCCCGGTATAGAAGGGTTAGCTTCCTCCCACGCGACTGCCAGACAGACTGCATAGACTTCCACAGGCTGAGGACCTCGTGCCCCCCAACCTGCGACTGCATGTTGGCAATGAGGACAGTCAGAGGGTACAACATGAGGCTGGTCAAGGTCCCATTGACACTGCCGGACACTAGGGCAGGCAGCCAACTTGGCAGACCTTTGTTGGACAGGCTGTCACGGAGGGGGTCCTTGAAGGAGAAGTACAGGGCGCTACCCAGGCTGTTCCGCAGCAGAACGGGGCCAAGGCCCCGGTAGTAGCCTATGACAAGCCTTTCCTTCAGGCCATAGGAGTTGAATTCCTGCAGAATGCTGCGGGTATTTGGGAACCTGCTGTTTTTCCGTCCATCCTGCAGGATGTTCTGGACCCGTTCAAAGGGATTCAGGACCAAGGCCTCCATTGAGCCAGAGAAGAAGCCTGCTGCCCACCGCTGTGGCAGCACATAGGAGTCGGATGTGTTGCTGGAGAGGAAACTGAGGAAGCTGTCGTAGGTGCCAAACATCAGGGTTCCCTGCAGCGTCTTGGACATGAGTGGTGGCAAAATGCCCCGGTAGAGGCAGCAGAGGCCCTCACGGTGCAGCTGGCATACTGCTTTGTGGATGGAGAAAGCGTGGATCTGCTGGCGGAAGATAGTCTTGTGGATGGGAAATGTCGCCAGGATGGACAGGAAGCTGGAGAGGGCCCCATGGTGGTAACTCCAGAAGCTCCATCCTTTCTCTACCTCCTTTCCATTCTTGGAGTCTCCACACTGAATCCCAGCTGTCTCTTCCATTCTGGGACCTCCTCTTTTAGCCACTAGGATCAGGTAGAAAAAAACCTAAAATAATTTGTAATAAGGTGATAGGCTGAGGGACCTAAGGTCATTTCCCAGCTGCATAGGTGTCACTGTGGCTGATCAGTTTATGCTAAGCTAGAACACTAGCTTGCATGAACCTGTCCCTTCTCAAACAGGATCCACACCTCAGGCTGTGCTGGAAGAATCTCACCATTGTTCTAGAGGAGGGCCGATGGTTTTTTCTCCACTGTCCAGCCTATTTTACCCTGGCTTTCTCACTGAGTGCCCTACTTTGTCCCTGCTCTCCAACAGGAGGGACCCAGATTTTTTTCTTTTTTTACCAGTTTCAGAGACCATTTAATTGTGTTCCATATTAGAGGCAAAGCTAGAAAAAGGCCAGTTTTGTATGGGTTTTCCCAGCAGGGCTGGACCATGCGCTCTCAGCCCATCACCCACAAACAATCCAAGTGAAGCATCCCCAGAGGTGGCCTCATGGTCTTTTCTATGGAAAACTCAGGTACCCTGATAAAACGTTGCTTTCTGTAAACCTATCTTACTGCTGCCCATGAACCCACACTACTTGGCTGTGTACAATCCTTTCCATCTAGACAAGGAGAAACAGTGCAGCAATGAGTTCTGAAGAAAGCCTCTTGTATTGGTTTAAGCAGCCTGTGCTGGTGTTAGAGCAGTGGAGGGACTGACTGTTAATGCACCCCAGAAAAAGACAAGCCCCTGAGTTGACTCACCATGACCTCCTGGATTGCCACCTGGATTTCCTGTATGCCCTGATCTGCCTAACCACATTGCACCCACGTGTGCAACACCTTTGATTGCCAGTCAGAGGGTTATATGGACTGCCCTGCAGAACTGCTGTGATTAGCTGTCTGAAAAGTGGCATTAAATAGGTGGCCCCACCTATCCCAGAGTCTCCCCTGAGCTGATTACTCTGCAGGTATACTCCAGGACTTGATTCCTGCCTCAGGAAGATTGTAGCCTTTCACTGGAGTGCATCCAGTCAGTGTGGGCCTCAACCATAGCTCATGGAAGTCAGTGGGGGCCTCTCCTTTAACTTTATTAAGCTTCATATCAGGCCTGTAACTTCTCCCTTCGGCTATGGCTGTTCACTAGTTTAGGGAGAACATGAGGGGAAAACTGACCAATGGCTATGGATGGATCCATGAGGACAGAGTCATCGTGGGGGCTCTGTGTAGGGTTCAGACATGAGATCTGGGTGTGTGGCCTTTCCCCAGCAGCATTCAGGGAACGCTGCATAAGGGAACGAGTCCTTTCCCCCTAGAACAAGTCCATTGATTCAGGCATTTGATCAACACTGATGTATGACCAGTCACTGGGATAGTCAGGAGGGAGCAGGGTCAGTCTGGATGGCTATGGGAGCAGAGGTGGGGATAGGTTGAAAGGTGCTTTTTCACTTAACTGGAGCTGCCAAAGTTTGCCTTGTTACCTCTGCTATTTCTAAACCAGAGGAACAGGACACAACCAGTGTGCACAGCAGAAGGGGGACTCAGGGAGCTCAGTGCCAGTGTTCCTATTTGGACACAGAACAAGTGGCCATATGAGGAGATGCTGAAGGATCTCAGACTCTTCAGCCTAAAGAAAAGAAGGCTGAGTGGGGACTTGATTGTGGCTTACCTCTATATCAGAGGCGTACATCAGGGGCTCAGTGAACAACTGTTCACCAGGGCGCCCTGGGGGAAAACTAGAAACAATGGCCACAAACTCCTGGAAGACAGTTTCAGGCTGAACATTAGGAAAACCGTCTTCACAACTAGGGTGTCCAAACTATGGAACAAATTCCCCCCAGAGGTGGTGCAATCACCTACCCTAGAGGTTTTCAAAGGAAGACTGGGTGGTCACCTGGCTGGGGTCACCTGAACCCAGATGTCTTTCCTGCTCATGCAGGGGGCTGGACCTGATGATCCTTCAGGTTCCCTTCCAGTCCTATGAATCTACGATCTGGGGTCTGTAGGTGCAAATGGCTCCTCTCATATATCCTGACCCTAGGCTCCACTTCCAGGGAGACATGGGCCCTCCGGAGCTTTCTTGCCTCCTCTCTCTTCAGCAGGTTTCCAAGGGTCAAACTTAACTTTCAGTTTCACTATTAAAGTAAATAGTAAAGCTAAATTCAGCTTTGGCAGAATCAATCACAACAGATTAGGGTCTGTGGAGTTGTGCTGGTAAACCCACAGGGGTGCTTGGTCTTGGGTCACTAAGTGAACCAGGGATCTTCTTAGGGAAAGGCCTTCATCATTTCAGTGCAGGTAAACAGTGCATCTGCCCTAGTCTCATCAAAACCTGCAGAAAAACCACAAGGCCTGGAAAAAGCTATATTCCACTTCTTGCTAAGAAGAATGGATAGATGGATGGATAGAGTAAGTTCCAGGTCAAACTAGCCAAATCAGTTCCAAATCATATCGACTGAGCAGAACTCAGTCGTTCCAAAAACCACATTGATTGAGCAAGCAGAACTCAATTATGCTAAACACCATGTATGGTGCTACAACTGACAAACAATTCTCTGTCCTAGACCTATCACCCTGGAACTTCAGATATTTCTGCCAGAATAGCTACCCCACCTCTGCAGACAATACAAGCTAAGTTAATAGAAGCCATGTCCTGTGGTCATGGCTGTATCCATACCAGGGGTTTTGCTAGTGAGGGGGTGTGATCTTTTCAGTCCCTCCCCACCATAAGCTGTGCTGCCTACACTGTCATGTAGACCAGGGCTACGATGCTGAGCCTTTTTCCAGCTGGCTCCAGCAGTGCTAACCTGCAAGAGCAGCAGCGGGTTAAAGGCCTCAGGTATATCCCTCACTACATACACAACCCATTTGCCCTTTACCTTGTTTGTGCCTTGGGGAAAAAAAAAACTAGGGTCCAACACTCCTGTTTCTGATCTCGGTGGGATTACACCTCCTCTACAGCAGTGTAAGCAACCTGGCTGGGGAGAGGCAGGTCCTGAGGGAGCTTCCCCCAGGGAGGAAGCTGCTGCATATGGTCACTTCTGTGCATATGGCCAGGGGTCTGCCTGGGTGCTGCATACAGGGTGGATGAGGGCAGTCTCCCCCAGGGTCCCTTTTACATAATTAGTGTGGATCAGCTCACAGCAACATCAGTGCCACTCTGCTGGCTTCAGCCCACTGGAAAGGCCAGTGCTGTCCCAGGTGACATCAGTGGCTGCCTGCCCCACTCCTGTGTAGTCGGCAGGTGGGGAGGGCTACAAACAGGTTACCGACACAAGGGGTTGACCAGTCCCTTGCATATCAAATGCAAATGAGGCCAGCAGGGAGACAAGCCTGCTTTGCTAGGGGGTCCCCTCATATCAGCTACGGCCTTGGGTACCATCATGCCCCAGACAGCTCTACTCTCCCACATCCTGAGCTCCATTGTTCTCAGCTGTCATCTAGTTTCCTATCTCTTCTCCCCTGCTGATGGTGAAGTGCAGGGCATGGATGCCTTCACACCTCTTCATTTGCCCATGCCCCCAGGGGTAGGATTGAGGGCATAGCAGGGAAAGCAGCCCACCCCACTGCAGCACAAGAGCAAAGCTGAGCATGACGAGGTGGGGGAGGATGAGAAGGAAAGGAGTGCTCAGTTATAGGTGGTTTTAAAAAACAAGACAAACCCTTCATAAGCAGTGGCTGCTACAATGACTAAATCAGGGTCAGAACGATACATGGGTAATAACAGGAGTTAGCATCAAGGGCAAAACTCACCCCTGCTGCCACTCTGCAGTCAATGGAAGTTACCTCAGGTCAGAGCTTGGCACGATGTGAACTTTCCTTTGTGTCCAGCAAAGTTCAGACTAAAGCAAGCAAAAGGCTCTGCTGATAAGCACTTCCTTTATCTGTGGTGAACAGTGCTCAAAGCTTCATGTAGTGCTAGGGGTGCTAGTCATAGCACAGCACTTCAGCACTGAGCATGGAGACTGTTCAAACATCTTGTGGCAAACCATCATGTTTAAACAGAGCTTTCATGCTAAGCCAATGGGGCCACAAACCTCTCTTTTTTAGTGGAGTGAGGGAGGGAGGCTCACCTCATGCTTAAGAGCCAGGGACTCCTAATAAGAAAATCTCTAAGCAGGCCTTGAGAAGCATCTCTGCTTTGGACAATCACTGTCAAAATGGCACCTTCTTACTCCATAGTTTTGTTCAGTGGGAATAAGTCAGTAGCTATGCAGAAGGGAGCCCCACATCCCATCCATTGTCAGAATTATTCACCCAGGTCTTTTTGTTAGACCCAAATATGCTGGTACATGTGATGTGTATCCACATCATACAATTGCTCTAGCCCTGCTCCTGTGAATACACATGACCAGCCTCACTGAAATGCAGGGGAAGGGGGTCTTTATGGGACTAGAGGCCCTCAGCAAAACCAGCAGGAGACTAGGACTGCAAAGCTGTAATTTAGGGCAGACTTCAGGGAGCCCTTTTGTTCTTAGCTGCAAGTAACTGCTTTGCACAGCTCATTTTGCAATGCTGTTATTGCTTATGAAATGCAAAAAGGAAAAAGAAAGTAGATTTTGTACCCAGATTTTGTACCTGTGGTAAACTGACTCAGATCCCAGGCAGAAAGGTATGGTGGAGAAGGAGGGGGGATGGACAAAGAAAGGTGTGGCTGGGGGAACAACCTTTTTCATTTGTAGAAAGCTGGACACATTTGATTGAGAAAATGCTGGAGTATGGCTCCACCCAGTGCCATTCTCAGTCACTTCTCAGTGTACATCCTTTTTTTTTTTTTTTAAATGTATTTTGGAAATGTTTTCATGTTCCAGGTCAAATTAGCCAGATCAGGTCCAAATCCTTTTGATTAAACAAAGCTCAGTCTTCTAACACCACATGTGATGCTGCAACTGGCAAGTATCCTCCACCCCAGACTTTTCAGCCTGGGGCTTCAGATACTTCCAAATCCATTGGCAAGCATTCTTCTACATGCAGGCCCAAGCCTGGAGGTTTGGGGTCAGATATCCCCAGCCAGTGGGCACAGGAGCAAGCTAGGGAGGACTCCCCCGTTTCCATAGTCAGTGCGTAGCTGAGATCCTCCCACTGGAAACTGGCCAGTGTGTAGCAGAAAGCCCCCCTAAAGGGAGGACCACATCTCCAGTCTGGGTGTAAAACAGCCTACTCTAGCAAAAAAAAACTACAGGGAGCAACCATACTCCCTCACCTGGGCAGAGGCTGTGCTGTTTATCTGCGATGCTCTATCTGGCAATGCACCTCTGCCACCAAAAGTGGAAGCTTGCTCTAGGGTCAGGCAAAGGTTAAGGCACTAGTAGAAATTTTATGTACTAAAGCATCTAGTGGAAAGTGCCAATCAGAAATCAAGGCAGTTTTTCAGGTTTTAAAAGAAGCACCCCCAGGAAGTCTGTATAAAATAAAAGAGCAGGAGAGGGTAATTTCTTTAAGAAATTAAGAGAGGAAAAGGGGGAAGGTCCTTGAAGCCAGGGAGAAACCCCCCCAATAGAAATACCAGTATTTTACCTTGTTTTTGTTTCTCCTGCAGTAGCAGCATCACCTGCCTTCAGCACTACCTTCCCCCTCACCCTCTCTTGCTTGCACTTTTACTTCCGCCCTTGCAGACAGGGAGCAATCTTGCCTTTGGTCACTGGCAGTTGCTGAGAAATGAACTAGGCTATCAGGTCCTCTTCCCACAGAGCCTCCCCGCCCTGCCGTGAGCTCATTGGCTGCTCTCACTGCTGTTCACAAAGCCCCATTTAGCCTGGGAGGATGCAGGAGGCTCAAGCTAGGCATTTTGCATCCCTATACTGGGTTATTTCAAAGGCAGAAGCAGATGCAACAAGAACAGCGTTGGGCTCGGCATGGACTGAGAACATGGGCTGCCAACATCCCTGCAGGGGCAACATTCAACTGTGATGACTAATGAATATAACTAAGGAAAAAAAAGTCTGAAAAAGGGAGCTGTTTTAGCACTGTGGAGATGCAACAAATGAGCTTGAAGCTGCAGCTAAATCCCTGTGGTGCTGGCTGTTGTGCCCCTCCACTCCAAAATGAGACATTAACACCACAAAAAGCTTTAAAGTTACCCACTCAATTGTATGATTACTGTATTACTATTTTATTTACTGGCTGGGGATAGGGGGTTTGCAGGGCCAAAAGCCTTTTAGTCACCCTGTCAGAAGTGGATGCGTGGATTTTGTGCCTGCACACATCTTGTCCTAACAATTTTCCATGTGATATGGAGCTGATTTCTTCGGCATGACAAACTACCTATATGAACGTAAGCGTTCATATAGCAATGGAAGCAAAATGCTGACAAGTAAGGCAAATGCAAGAAAACCTGGTCTGAAGTGGGAGGAAGAAAAAATAATCATTGTCAGCCATTTGAGATTGCTGAGGCTCAGACACACCCCTCTAATGGCAATTTCCAGGAATATCCTCTTCTCTTTTCCAGGAAGAGATGGCAAACAATTTTTTTTGTTCACAATCAGACCAGGGTGTTAAGCTCTCTGCAGGTAGAATACCACATAGTTATTTCAGGCCTGCGAGATGTAGCATAAACCAACTAACCACTTTGAAGCCTTCCACGTAGTGGACAACTGGCAACTTCACTTTTCTTTTTATACTCTGATCTCCTGTCACAATAGCCTTCTATTCCTACCTCCTAGGGTCCAAACCAACTGCTCCTGAATGGCAGGCTTTAGAGCAGGCCAAACTTTCGTTTGTGTTGCACTTCCCCTGGAACTCACTGGCCTTTGGCTGTTTTTCTCACTCCATTTGCTAGCTGTGGCTGTTTGAAGGTTAGAAAGCCATCCTGTTGAATGAACCAGAGTCCAAAATTTTCACTATCAAAAAGAAACACAGAAAGCAAGCGACAGGTTACAGTAGAATGAAGAAACTCAAGCGGTTTACACAAGAGGACAACATAAATAGTGCAGAGTCCTGTTATTTGAGAGATCACATTCTCTTTCATACATAGTACATAGAACAGCATTTCACACATTTCATGTTTATTGTGCCTTTCAGTTTTCACTATGTGGTTCCCCTCTCCCCCAACAGCAAAGTGCATCATGTTTCCCATTTTTTGAAGAATGTCTTGCATTCAACAGCTTATCTAATGCTATCCCAACTATGCAATTTGTCCAATAAAATATGTCACCTGAAGAAATCCTTGCCTTCTCTTGTAGGCATGGGTAAAAGGCAGTTCTGAACACATTTTTGGCATTACACGCTACTATTGCTAGCCAGCACTTCCCTTCCTGCCATCTTTCCAAGACATATTTGGGTATTCTGCTGTTCAGGTAGGTGGTTGGGAAAACTTGGAAGGCCTCTGTTCAGCAAGGAAAGCATGTACAACATGTAGTCCATTCTGAGAACTGCTTGTGCCAGAAGGAATATGCATCTCATTTACTGATATTGGACAACTTGTATTGTCCTAGTTCCTTAACAGACACACACAGGAACCAGGACAAGAATGGGAGCTTGTATTCATTGCAAGAGTTACCTTTAGTTAGGCTATTCCAAGTTACTCTATTTAGGATAATCTAGTTGAATAAGAGCAACTGCACTGCAACTCAGTGACTAGGGTGACAGCCAACAAGTTAACTCAAGCTGCTGCATCCTCCCTGTGAAACTAAGAAATGCATGGCTTCAAGCACTGGCTCCTTCCTTCCCCATTCAAGCTAAGTGTGGGAACATGAATCTGACTGGGGGCAAATCTCAAGTTTTAGCTCAAGCTAACATGAAGTCCTTCCAGCAGATGGAAGGGTGCAATGTGCTTTACTCATGGGTACTTCCCTGAAACTCCCATACTATAGACAGACACATATACATAACATAGATATTGACAGATAAGTCTACTAAAAGTAGACATGCAAGTCAGTATTAAGACATCTGCTCTTATTAGATGCATTTCAACAGCACTCAGGCCATGTCTAGTCTGCTAGGTCCAGCAAGAGCACAGCTTGAAAAGAGGTATTTTAGATTTCAACAAGGAAACCCCAGGTAATAAACATGAAGTCAATGACATCTGGCTACCATGCAGCCCTGCAGAAGGCTGCTTAATCCACTATAGTAATGCAAGTTCATACCTCTAACAGGATGTCAACCCAGTATTTGCCTATTAATTGAAAATTAAACTATTTAATTAAAAAGTGCTTATTAAGCAATTCTCTTCAGTGCTGCTTATTGCCAAGTTGTACCCATGAACAGTGAAACGGCTTCACAGAAGTGTGCCTGCTGTCAGTGGGAAGACGTGGAGCAGTTAAAGTGTGGGAAGACTTTGAAAAAAGCCTTCATTGAAACCTAGACTTCTGAAGTCAAGGATCAGCTTTGATATGAGGGTCAGGCAGGCTCTCTTCTCTCCTCAAGCAGAGAAGCAAAGCCTTAAGTCTTTGAACAATTTAAAAATCACTTATTACAGAGAAGTCCTGTTTTTCACAAACTGGTGAGTAAACAAGCTCAGAGGAACAGTGCACACAGCAACACAATGGTGTTGCATGTTTCAAAAACATTTACAGATTACAAGCACATCTATGATTCTTTTTTAAATAAAAGTTTAATTCCTTCATTGAGGTCTTAGTTTAACACAAATGCTGCAGAAAATCCTCACACCGCTGCCCTGATGTCCTTGCTCTTGGCTTCTGCTCATGATGCATTGGGCAGGGCAGAAGCAGGGCTCCGAAGTAGGAGGCAGGAATCCTGAAAGGACCCTCAGTGGAGCTCAGTGCAGGATGCAAGCAAAGAAGCAAACATACACTTTCCAGACAAACATAGACTTTGGATACAAAACAAAACCTATGATGGGATAGAAGTGTTATGTAGCCACAGGACAAAAGTTCTAGGAAGGGAGAGGGGGAAGTCTTAATTAAAAAGGCACAATAACTAATGCCTAGGAGGACTACCCCAAATCCAGACACCCAGATTGTTCAGGTAGCTCAATTATCTACCACCCTCCAATCTCTCATACCACCTTGGCTGGAGAGACAAGCAACTTCAAAAGCCTCCTCCTTCCTTTCCGCAACTCCAAAGTAGGTTGAGATTGTTTATAAAACCAAAATGCATACAAAAAACAGCTTGGCCTGCTACCCAGTAAGAGTCCAGGAAAGACTGATTTAAACATTTCTCTTAGAATTGTCTGGTATAACTATTATGCATTTAAGTTGTGGATAATACCAGCTCTACAGACAGGAGCCGTAACCAGCTCTGGGTCTGACAGCTTCCTTCATTTCTTTCTTGAGGCCTGTTGCTACCTCTGAGTGGGGTTAGATGTGGTATTGGGAAAGCTTCAATAAATAAAACCACAGATGGAACAAGCCACCCCTGACCTATTACTATCAAGCACTTCACATGAACAGCTGACTCAGATCCATCCTTTGGCTCTCTCTGAAATTTCACAACCTCCCCATTAACCATCATTCCCAAGGTTCCTTGCAGAGATGGAAGATTCTGGTATCAGCCATGGAAAAATATTAAAGAGGCAAATAATGACCCCCCCCCGCGCAAAAAAACAAAACAAAACAAAATAAAACAAAACAACAAAACACAAGCAGTCAAAATACAGTCAATAACTTAGTGGTACAATGGAATACTACACTTAACCTTCAGAGATTAAGATGCCTGAAAACAAAGTTTACAAGGAAGTAATAAGGTCAGCCCATGTCAATCTATTCAGCAGGCACATGCTGCAAGGAAAAAGCAGGTCAGTAAAAGGTCAGAAAGGCTAGCCTTACTAGGGTACCAGCAGAGAAGAGAAGTGGGACCTGTCTATACAGCAAAATGGAGTTGTGACTGTTGCACATGCTAGTGCACCCTTGCTAGCTTCAAGCAACATGGGAACAATCGCAGTCATGGCAGCCCAGATTGGGTCAGGTGCTAGCAGGAACATGTACTATGGAGTACATGCTGGTTACAAATAGGTGAAGAACTGTGCTGCCATACCTCCACTGATCTCATTAGCCATATTAGCTAGATAAAGACAGCACAGGTATGCTAGAGTATGCTATAGCTCATGATAATTTTGCTGTTCAAACACCCTAAAAGGACATCATGTTTCTTCTCCACTACAAGGGCACAGGTGTGTGGTCTCCCTCCAGGAGAGGAAGCTGATGATTGTCCTACCCTTCCATGGTGCTGATCCAGTGCCTCAGCTCTTGTGGTCAATGTATAAGACTTCCTTATCCCACTTCTCTAAGGACATCTATCAGGTATAGAATAAGTAGCACACGTTCAGCAGTCCCTTGGACTCTTGCTGTAAGTTCCAGATCAGCCTGTTCTTGGGAGCTCTACTTCCCATACCACCCACCCCCAACCAACCAACCAAACCCAAACCAAACAGGTATGCATGCCAGATACCCAGCCTCCCCACAAACACAAAACCTCCCACTCCAAGAAAATTGTGGCAATTGGCCATGGTAGTCCTACTCTCCACAGATCTGCAATGCTGACTCTCACTACTGCTGGAAACCTAAACTGAAAAGTCCACACTTTGGAGGCTGCTGGTGGAAGTTGGAGCATTTTAGATGTGCCTCTCCCAGAGCTGGGATCAGACACAATAAGACTGATGTGTGCAGAGGAGGAGCTGTGGAGAACCACACTGGAACAAGCAGAGTCTTCTACTGAACTTTATAATAAGCTGAACAACTTTTGGTTTAAAAAAAAGCCACACAAGCAGCAGCCAGCATGTCGTTATAAAGGGACATGGCTGAATAGGTAGGAGACAGATTCCCCATTATGAGTCCTCCTGATGGCCTCTGCAAGGATCATTGAGATGTCAATCACCTGTAAGAGAGAGAAAGGGGGGAAAAAAAAACCAAGGTCAGTGTCACCTAGTGGAAGACTACACCAAGACCTTAGAGGGTGGCTGAGAAGCCATAAAGAACCAAGGAATCCATTGCCAAGGTCTACAGCAGCTTGTCACATACAAAAGAACTATTAGTTCCCTTTAAACAAGCAAGCAAGATCAGAATTTCACACTGCATATATTGCTGACTGTGAATTATTCTTGCCACTATGCTCTAGTGCAGGGGTCAGCAACCCCTGGCATGCATTTCGAGCATGGCACGCAAGGCCATTTTTCTCAGCACACCACCGCGAGCCTGGGCTCTAAGCAGCTGCTGCCAGCCATGGAGCCCAGGCTGCTCCCAACAGGCGGATGGGAGGCTGCAAGCCCTGCTGCAAGCAGACCGGGCTCCGTGGGCCGGCTGCAGCCAGGAGGCTGCAAACAGCTGCTCCAGGCTCCAGCATGTTGGCACTCCGGCACCTTCCAAGGTAGACATTGTGGTTTTTTCAGCACTCTAGCCAAAAAACACTGCCTACCCCTGCTCTAGTGGCAGAACAAGAAAAAAAATCCCAATGGATGAGCCTGCTGATCCATATTTAGCCTGGTATCCTGCTGTCTGATAGCAGTCATGTCAGATGCTCTACAGGAATTATAGAACCCAGTAGTAGGTTGCATGGTGTAACATTCCTGCCTAAAGTAGATGTGATCTTGCTCTCTGAGGTCTAATGATAAGCTTTGTGGAAGGACACTTAAGTGATAAAAGCTATGGATATTCAGGCAAGAATGCCTTCTGTGCTTTTTTTTAAACCATTGTTGCCAGCCTGAACAACACAAACACACACTCACAATTCATTCACTTGCAACTCTACCAATATCATATATACCTTTGTCTGCTCACAGCTCTGCTGTCTATATTAGACAAATGAAGCAATCTGATGCGTAAGAATAAATGAATGCCAGTTTGACATCAGCTGCAGAGAAAGACACAGACCATTTTAACCTCCCTAGACACTCCATTACTCACTTAAGGGGGGCTGTTGTTAAGCAGCAAACCTTTAAGAAACAACTTGAAGGAGAAATTGCAGAACAAGAAATACTCCAGACTAAATTGTGTTAAGTATGGTTTAAACACAGACTATGGATTCTTACCCAGTTAGCTTTTGCGACTCCTTTGTTCCTATGGGATTATTGCTTGATGGTTGCTTCTTCCAGCACTGTCCCCCCACCCCGACATCCTCTCTGCCTTTTGTATTTAAATTTCTCCCTCCTCCTCATACACTGCTTTGTGCACTTCCTTTCATAGCATCTGATCAAGTGAGCTTCAGCCCACAAAAGTTTTTGATCTCTCTAGCCAAAGGGTGGGGGTGTGTGTGTGTGTGTGTGTGTGTGTGTGTGTGCACGCGCGCGCGTGCGTGCGTGCGTGAGAGAAAGAGAGAGAAAAAGTCTACAAGGTGCAAATCTACAGTCTTGTTTGACTACAGACTAATAAGGCTAATTACGTCTCTATTCAGGTAAGATTCAGAGGTACTGAAAAGTTTACATCCTTGACCTCTGTGGAAGGCCAGTAGGCGGGGCACTCCTGTGCTGAGCCGCCTGCCTCACTGCGCCTGGCCAAACACCAAGCTCCGAGTGCCTCCCCTGGGGCACCTCACATGTGGCCGACCCGCTTCCTGGAGCACACCCATAAGCTTGGGGTACCGCTGCCACCACCTGGACTCAGGTCTTTGTCTGGGCTCTGTGCCGCCTGAGATAAATAGACCCTGTAGACCTTGGGATTTTGGGGTGCTTCTAGTAGCCTGAAGCATTCAGCAGCAGCCTCTTGTGCGGGAGGAAAGTAAAATAGCCGAGCCCACCTTAGTATGTCCATTCCCTCTTAAGCACACACAGTGAGGCGTGCTAAAATGGATAAGTTTGTTGATCAAAGAGCGATGGGGTGGGGAGGAATACCAATAGCAGAATATAGAAAGAAAACCAACACTGAGCAAAACTAGGTGGCTTATCAGCCTTTTGAAATGTGACTAGAGTTCATTAAACTGAGCTTCTAATTAGCTTTCAGGTAAGTAACTCAATTCTGCATCCGGAGTATGAAAGAGGGAGCTCCATGAGTGTGTTTTCAAATGTCCGCTTTAGCCCAAACTGACATCAACACCTGGAAGCTGTCAGGGACAGGTGGCATTTGATGCTGGCCAATCAATTTGAAAAACATCACAGTTACCTACTAGAGTGACGCAGGCTGGAGCCCCTGCCCCCATGTTGTGAGGTAAGATTCACCCCCTCTTACTGGAGGTTCCTCACCTAGGCAGCAAGTTGGCTGCCTAGCACCCACATTGCTAGACACAAGAGAGAGAAGGAAAACAGACAACCCCCAAAGAGAGAGGCAGCTGGAAGGGTATTCTTTCACAACCTTTACATTCTGTGGCAAAGTTCCATAGTCCAATTGTTGAAACTGTTGAAATTACTGAAAAAAAAATCTTTGTATCAGTTTTCAATTTCCTACTTTTTAATTTGCCAACACAAGAACCAGGAGGCATTCTAACAGGGAGAACACAAGCTCCTTTGCTGGGCCTTTCATTTATATGCATTTAGAACAGGGGTTGGCAATGTTTTTGGACAGTACCAAAAACACCTGCAAGCTCGGCTCGTAAGATGGTGGTGGTTCTAAGAGTGGATGGTAGAGGAGCTGCGAGGGGCCCAATCCTTGTTGTGTCAGCACAGCCCTGGACTCTTCCCTGCCATCTGCCAAGGTGCACGTGCCAAGCAAAATGCTTTCACATGCCACACTCTGGCACCTGTGCTGGGGGTTACCTACCCCCAATTTAGAATTTCCCCTCGTATTAATGGGCTAAGCTAGGATTACCATATTTCCAGGTCCAAAAAAGAGGACACCTGTCAGGGGGTGGGGGGAGGGGTGGCAGTGCCATGCTGGTGCCCTGGCCATTCTGTTGCTCTTCACTGACAAGCCACACCCTCCTCCCCCCACCCTGATGCTACCCTTCCAGACCCACTGACCTCAGCACTGCCAGTGCCCCTCACTCCCAAACTGCAGTACCCTGCCTCCCATCCCTTGCTGGTGCCCCTGTCTCCTGACCTGCAGCCCCCTGGCACTGCCAGTGCCCTGCACACCCTACCCACAGTCACCTGCCCCATCTACCTCACTCCTAATCCGCAGCCTCCTGCATCCCGCCCAGCCCTGCCGGTGTTCCTCACTCCCAGCCTGCAGCCCTCTGTTCTGCCTCCCAGCCCTGCACTCCTAAACCACAGACCCCTGCCCAAGCAGCTCCTGCACTGTGCTTGTGCTGGCTCTCTCTCTCTCTCTCTCTCTCACACACTCACTCTTTCTACCTGGTTCCCAGAGCTCGTGCGGAGAGCATGCGACCCCCAGCAGCCAATCACCTTGCCTGCTGCTCCTAACGCCAAGCAGCCAGCCCAGGAGAGCAGAAAACCTGGACGTTTGCTCTTATTTAAAAAACCCACCCAGACGCACCACAGGGGTCCAAAAAAGAGGACATGTCCCACAAAACCCGGATGTATAGTAACCCTAGGTTAAGCACATACCCCAATCTTTTCAGTCTTGTCACAGTTCTACATAATTCCCTGCTCTGCTGCAGCTGCATACCGAGTAGGTTTCTGAGTGGTCACCACCAGCAGGGAGATCCCCATCTTGAGCTGACAGTTGGCTAATGATTACTTAACCTTCTTCTACCTTTAACTCCAAGATGTGCGTTATTTGTATTTCTCATCTGTGAATTCCATTTGCCATTAATTTAACCTTTCCACATAGCTTGCTTGTCTCCAAAATGCCTCTAAAATCTATCTGGTCTTGACAAACTTACACAACTCATCTGTGAGATTTGCTATCTCACTTTCCAGGTCAGTATTTTAGCATTATGCTGAGGAACTGCACTGTTAACCTTAGCCATGATGAAAGCCCACTATATTCAGTCCTACCCTGTGCTTTGCCTCAAGTTTGATTCACTGGCAATACTACTTACACCGTAACAGACTTTTGTGTAAGACCTTTAAGATCTTTTTGAGTCTAAATTATGTTAATTGGCTCACTTTTATCTCCTATTTTGTAAGCACGGTCAAATAATTAAGAGATTTTAGACATTTCCCCCCTTCTTTATCTACCCTGCCCAGCACCTTCCCTTTCCTTCACCTTGCCCCTTCCCCCCCACTCCCACTTACCTGCCGGGGTGGGTGTCAGTGTCTGCGTGTGCCTCTGTGTCTGCATGTCTGTGGGTCTGGGGGGCTGTTCTGATGGGCATCAGTCTGTGGGGGGGAGTGCAGGGCACCAAGAGTGCTGGAGGCGGGGGGCTGTGGAGGGCCTTTAATTATTATCAGATTTGGGGTTTTTAATCAGAGAATTTGCAATTTTTAAATCAGAGAAAACCAGGATCCCTGGTCATCACAAACCCAGCAGCTTCTCTAGTCTTTCAGGAGAAATAGGGTAGACTAGACCCAAATTTTAAACTAAAACACAGGAAACTGCTTTCCAAAGCTATTTCAGATTTCAGAGATGGCAAAACAGGGTTGCCCTCCCTGCTTTTGAAATTACCTGTAAGAGTATTGAGGAGGGGCAAAAGCAAGGCACCTATTTCCCACAGGAAAACAAGTAAATGATGCAAACTCCATCATCCCAAAACACAAGGCTAAAAGTGGCCTCTCACCTGGATTTTAGGGCAGTGCTTCATCTTGTCCTCCTGGGGTATTGTGTTTGTGACTACAACTGCCTCAAAGCAGGCATTGTTGATCCGGGAGATGGCTGGCCCAGAAAAGATCCCATGAGTTAGAATGGCATACACTTTGGTGGCTCCAGCTGATAAAAGCCTAGCAGGCAAAAAAAAGATATACAAGGGAAAGGGTCAGAAGTGTACACTGTGGGTTTCTTCCTCTTTCCCCCACCCCTTCTGCTGGCATAGTGAAAGAAGTTAGGGCTACAGTGCTAGCAGCCCATGTAATTGATTGCTTCTTCCAGCTAAACCTGTCTCAGATCAAGTGAGGTGCCAAGCTGTGACATTAGATGACTAATACAGGCTGAAGCAGGTTTTTCAACTGCCATACACTGCATTGCATTTTGCTGCAGGTTACTTGGGTATTAGAAGAACTTTGATCTTCAGCCTTGGACCTCTAACATTAGAACTAGTTTTGGTATGAAATATTTCTGGGCGCAATATTTATACCAACACCAGGGTGACAAACCTGGCTAAAAGTGTGCTCTTAAAATTAGCTAAGCCTATATGTAGAGGACACCCAAAAAGCTGGGTTACTGAGGAGTTATACCCTGTTTAACATGCATATTATTATAATGACTATTATGGAATCTTTGACACAACCTTTCAGCCAATTTTACTCCATCAGTTACGATGTGGTCACAACTAGGGCTCTGCAAAGCTTCGGTCCCTGATTTGGTTTGGTGGAGATCTGGCCCGATTCGGCGGCTGAATCTCCAAATCTGAGTTGAATCAGAGGACCCATTAATCTCTCTGAATCGAATCAGAACCCACCGAATCAATTCGTAGAGATCCGGAAAGATTTGGACATAGAGACAGCTTTAAATGTTTTTTCTACATACCTTTAGGTAGCTGGGGCTCGTGAATGCTGCAATGCTGGGGTGCACGGAGTGTCCCACAGAAGTGCAGGGAGCTCCCCAGCACGCTTGACAACAGACCTGGAAGCGGACCAGAAGCACTTCTGGTCTACTTCTGGGTCTGACGGGGAGCATGCTGGGGGGCACCCCTGAAGCCCCCCAGTGCAGTGACTGGTGCTTCCTGAGTCTGGGGGTGCACCCAGCGTCCCCCTGCGGCTGACTGTGGAGCCAGGGGGCCACAGGGGGCCTTCCCAGTGCACTTCCTGACAGACCCTGAAGTGGATCGGAAGTACTTTAGGTCCACTTCCGGGTTCAACGACGAGCATGTGAAGGGCCCCCCTGCGCTCTTGTGGGACGCTCCATGGGCCCTGGCATTGCAGCATTCACAAGCCACACCTGCTACCTCTAAAGTATGTAGAAAAAACTTCTAAAGCTGTGCCTATGTCCAAATCGCTGATTTTCCAAATCAGGATCAAATCTTCTGATTCGGCGCAATCGAATCAGGGGCAGTGCTCTGAATCAACTAATCAAATCACTGTTCCTGATTTGGGCTGAATCCAAAGCGAATAGGGCCTGCTTTGCACATCCCTAGTCACCATACAGGCTGGAAGAGCTCTTCTATCAAAGCCAGAATATGGAAATAGTATATTCTAGCTATTTCTGGTACAAAAACAGGTGTAACTTAAAAACAAATGTTCTTTTTAACTAAACCTTTCAGGCCTTTATAATCATTAACTTTCAAAAAGGGCACATACCCTTTTTCTATAAAGAACTGCAGGTCATCTTTTGTAACATATCTACCTTGACAGGATGAGACTCCAAACCAATCAGGGAGCATTACCAGCTGCCACCTGTATTTAGTTCTTGATTTCAGTCAGACTATGCTTACATCTCACTTACTTGTCTGCTGCATGGCAGATGGTGCCACAGGTGTCTGCCATATCATCTACCAGAATGGCCACTCTGTCCTTCACATCGCCCACCAGCACCATACGATCTACCTCGTTGGCCTTCTTTCGCTCCTTATGAATGAGGGCAAAGTCTACATTCAGCCGATCTGCAATGGAGGTTACTCTGTAGAGAGAGATTTGCAAAGTGTACATACACTATTGCATGGAAGCAGCTTTGGTAAGAGAAGGAAACTGTTCCAAGAGTGCATGTATTGAATGGGCAGCAAACTAACATACCTATTATCACAGACCTACTTTTAATACATCTAGGAGGGATGCTTTCAGTTACCACCTACATGGAAGTGCCATTAAAACTGTGAGAAGGTAGAGATGCTTGGAAAAATCAATGAACCCAAAGCCTCTGATTTGCTCTCTTCTGATAGCAGCAACTGGATTAAGGTAATAGGCATGCTATCCTCCTGATTAGTACAAACTGAGAATTTGTAGATTTATGGTGGATTTAGGGTGTTACAAAGACTTACTGAAAGACGGATACATCGCAAGGCCTGTATGTATACTATTCTTCCAGAATATTCCAGTTGCCAATGAGCAGAATGTAACAGTGGAGAAAATTTTAGGGGGAAAAAGCCAGTAAACTCTGCTTTATTTACCACTATGGTTTCATTTGCACTATCAGCATGCCCTTCTACCCCCATTCACACTTGAGCTGGATAATTTACTGTTATGTGCATTCCCTTTGGAATGGCAAGTTAACAAGTTCACAGCATGTTGCTAATTCACTCAACTGCACAAATCAACACCAAGATAGGCTGATAAAAGCAGGAACAATGCAAACCATTAGCTGGATATAGTAAGAAGAATGTTTAAATGCCTTGTCACTGACTCATTAGTGGAAGTTCAAGTAGCCCCCTCCTCAGTTCCTTTATTTAAAAAAGTTGACAGTTTATTGAAAAAAGTCTCTTCCAGACTCCAAGTTTGACAATTGGTGTGACCCTGAGTAGAAGAACAAGACTCACCAACCAGGGACCTCTGAGTTTTTCCAAGTAGCAGGAGAAGCATTAGCACACCTCACACTCAGGACCCTCTTCCTGACCCCACAGATTGGGATGTTAGCCAATGCTTCAGGGGAACCTGCCTCCTCCCCTCTGGCTAATAGCATCCATAAGAAAGAAAATAAATCCTTCCTGTTCTACACAGGCAACCAGGAAAAGCCCTGAGGCATGGTCTTACCAGAGACTTTGCTCACTACAGAACAGTTCTCTTTATAGCCCAACGCAGACTAAAAATTCATAATTCAACATACTAAATCAGAACTCCCTATCCTGATTTTGATCTGAAAAGAAATTCAAGCTCTCTGCTCCCCTCTATTAGGTTGGAGGGTGATTCCAGAAATTTACTCCAAGTCAGAAATCTTCAAATTTCCAATCTATATTTATCCATAACTACTTTGTAGCAGTTTGATCTTGTGCTGAGGGAAATTAATTGAGTGTTCCATGACTGGGAGCCAGTTACCTTGAAATTACCACTCAGTGTGGCCTTAGGTCACTCAGTGTACCCAAGCCTGGTACCAAGGTCAGCCAATCTGTAAAACAACAATATTTCCTTTTCTACTTCAAAAGATGTTTAAGCTTTGTCCATACAATACTTTGAAAGTGATCACAAGAAGAAAACCTGCCCACAAGACTTCTGAAATAAATGCAATTATTTTGGAAGTCTTATACAGAGATTACAGCTTAGCCAATCTGGCATTTTAAGCAGCAAGGAACAAAAACGATAAAATAGCTTATATATAAAACTGGTCTATTTTGTAAACTCTGGCCAAGATAAACCTTAATGGTCACACAAAATGGATGTTCAGAACATCTGGTTGCACAGCTGCAGTGCACTCTAAGGTTCATAACGGTAGGTTTAATTACTCTAATAAGGAGTTTGTGTACTAGGCTTGGCAGGAAGCGCTAAGGCTTAAATATGGTTTTGAGAATGTCTCCCAAATTAAACAACACATTTCCTTGGACTATAATCTGTAGCCACTGCATGAAATTTACAAGTGCTCTTGTTTTCTAAGTATTTCCTCAATGAGAATTCAGGAGCAATTCTAAGAACCCTGCACCTACGAATGCATTACCTACGCAAAGGTAGGAAAATATTTCAAATATCAGCTCCTGTATCAGAACAACATCATAAATGGTTTTTACTTTTTCCTCCCTTGATAATATGCAACCACAGACAATTATGCTTTCATACAGCATGTGTAGCCTTGGCTAAAGAAGCAAGCAAGCATGAATTACCAGTGTTTACTGAATAGTAATTCTAGGAACCCACCCCAAATCTCCATGCAAAGCCAGGGACATATTCTAAACCTGGATTTGAGGATATGTCTCTAGGAGGATGTGTTAAGGTGCTTCTCATCAAATGCTAAAGAAGAGTGCTCACTGTGATGCTGGGAAGGCAAACTTACATAGCTAAGAGAGCTTCCAGAATTCAGGCAATGCAAAGATCTACAAGGGTCACAGTTCAGGTGTTTACAAGGATATGTCCAAACTGTCTCAGGGTGGATTGAGCTCACCTCTTGGCTCCGCCTGCATCTGGTGAAACAATGGTGCAGTTCTTCCACTCAGCAATGTTCTCCTTGATCCACTTCAGTACTGCAGGTTCAGCATATAAATTATCCACAGGGATATCAAAAAAACCCTGTGAGAAGGAAAAAAAACAGAAGATCTATATATCTGACCTTCAAGTTCCAAAGACAGACCTGGCAGAAAACAACAGAAGTCCTCCATATAAACAGGCGCACAGCCCACAGGCTTCCCACAGCACTTTCTCAGCTCTCCTTTCCATTTACATTATGAGAACAGCAGTAGCCTTTGGACACATAGAATACTAATGCAAAATGTCGTCACCTTTCCATTTCTACTAAGAGAAAGTACTCAGCTAATGTTTCCTCTGAACACTAGGTCATAACTCTCTTTTCCTCTTAAAGCCTGTCACAGATATCTGCACAAGACCAGTCGTGATACAGTAGGAACATTAGCTGCATTTATTTCTGTAGTTGCTAGTTACTGGTTTAGAAGTTAACTATGTGGTTCTTAAAAATCATTGTCTACTTCCAATGTTGCACCTGGAAGCAAATAAGAAAAGTGAAGAGACCTGAGTGCTTCCTTCAAATCTACAAAGCTGCCTGCCTCAACAAAGTTCAGGCAAATGCCAACGTTTTGCCTCCCTACACCCAGAAATGCACAGTGCTACACATGCGTGTGCACAGGCACACACGCAGCTTGCCTCCCTACAAAAACACGTGCTGTTTGCCTCCCTAAAAACACAGTGCTATAGGCTCCCTAAACACGTGTGCACACACGCATGCTGGGCCTGCCTCCCCAAACACGTGCGCGCACACACGCTGTGCCTGCGACCCCCCACACGCGCGTGCTGTGCCTGCGTCCCCTCACACACACATGCGCTGTGCCTGCGTCCCCCCACACACACGTGCTGTGACTGCGTCCCCACACACACGCCGCCATGTGCCTGCCAGCGAAGGAGCGTGTACTCCGCGTGCCTGTCAGGGCGCGTGCGCACACACACACACTGCGCGTGCCTGCCGGCACACACACACACACACACACACAAACGCTGCGTGCCTCCCAACACACACACACACACACACACACACACACACAGACACAAACGCTGCGTGCCTCCCAGCACGCACACACACACACACAGATACAAACGCTGCATGTGCCTCCCAGCACACACAAACACACACACACAAACGCTGCATGCGCCTCCCAGCACACACACACACACAGACACAAACGCAGCGTGTGCCTCCCAGCACACACACAGACAGACACAAACGCTGCATGTACCTCCCAGCACACACACACACACACTGCACGTGCATGCCAGCGCACACACACACAAACACACTTTGCATGCCTGGCAGCACGCGCGCACAATCCGCATGCCTGCCACTGTGCACGCGTGCACTCCGTATGCCTGCCAGTCCGCGTGCCTGCTAGCATGCACACTCTACGCGCCTGCCAGCACACACGCGCACACACTGTGCGCCTGCCACCACGCGCGTGCGCGCCCACACACACACACACACACACACTGTGCGTGCCTGCCAGAACGCACGTGCACACTGTGCGTAACTACCAGCACGCGCGCACACACACAGACACACTGCACATGCCTGCCGGCACACACACACACACACACACTGCGCATGCCTGCCCGCACACACAAACACACAATCTGCGTGATTGTCAGTGCGTGCATGCGCACACTGCACGCAGGCCAGCGCGCGCGCACACTCTGTGTGCCTGCTAGCGTGCACGTACACACACTATGTGCCTGCAAGCACGCGCGCTCACACACTACGTGCCTGCAAGCACGCGCGCTCACTACGTGCCTGCAAGCACGCGCGCGCGCACACACACACAGTGAGGGCCTGCCAGCACGTGCACACACACTGTGCGCGCCCCAAGAAGCGCGCGCGCGCACACTGCGCGCGCCCCCAGACGCACACACACTCTGCGCGCCCCGAGACGCGCGTGCCCCCAGAAGCGTGCGCGCACGCACATACTGCGCGCGCCTGCCAACGCACGCACGCACACACTGCATGAGCCTGATAGCTCCTGCGGGCGCCTGCCAGCACTGGCGCCTGCCACCACAGGCGCATGCACACATGCCCTGCGGGCACCTGCCAGCACGCGCGCGCACTGCGGTGCCTGCAGACGCGCACGCGCGCACATATACACTGCGGGCACCTGTCAGCGCACACGCACACCCAGCGGGCACTGGTAAGCGAGTGCGCACACGCACGCACAGCAGGTGCCTGCCAGCGCACGCACGCACTGCAGGCGCCTGCCAGGACGCGCGCATGCACACACACAGACATGTGCCTGGCAACGCGCGCGCACACAAACACTGTGTGTGCCTGGCAGCGTGCACGCACATGCACAAACACTGTGCGTGCCTGCCAGCGCGTGCACGCACACACAAACACTGTGTGCCTGCCAGCGCGTGCGCACACACAAACACTGTGTGCCTGCCAGCGCGTGCGCACACACAGTGTGCG